GAATGCTACGAAACCTTATTCAGTTACTAAATACGACTTTTTCTGGAGCACAGTTAAAAAGGAACGAAAGGGGTCAGGAACAGCAGATCTCCTATCTCAATGGCAACATCACTTAATTACCAAAAGGAACAAGCAAAATCACAATGCTCGCAAATTTTCACTAGCTTGACAAAAGGCTAAGAAGCGTTGACAAAAGATGAGAAAAATAAAAGAAAAGCGGACGACGGCCGCCTCCGCCAACATGTTATATTTTCTAAATGTTTTGGGGGATATGGGTATTTGACAGAGGCCAAAAGGAACTATTTGACGAGGAAGCCGAGAGCAACTGCCAGGACAGGACATTTCAAAAAACAAAACACTTCCACAATCACAGACACTATAAGAGAGTTATTAAAACAAAAATATAACTTTTGACACAGATGTTGGATCACGCATAAGCTTTGGTGGCATATAACGCAGCCCCTTCTACACTACCAAATAACATTTTTAGTCCGACGACGAAAAACCGCGACAGCGTAAGTTGCCGGCGATCCGGAGACGACAATCAAATCATCGAACTCTCTAAGCTTGCGAGACAATTAATATTTTGCTTGGACGATGTGAGTTCTTACAGGAGAGGCACAGTAGTGAATAGTACCCTGTAGAACGACAGTAGAGGGATAGTTTGTCCGATAATTATTGTACCAAAAATCTTCAGCACCGGCGATTAGGCCTCGGTAGGAAAGCGCATGCACCGCTCGCGGTGAACGCTCGGAAATCGGCGACTCGAGTGCAGATTGCCAATGAACATATGTACGGCCGCGTTACAACCACGTCTTGGCAATAAATCATTTGGTTTCGAGTACGAGTGTCAAAGTTGGATAAATAAAACTCTTGTACTAGTCACAGAGTCCACTTCTCAAGTGGTTTCTGTATTTAGAATGTAAAACCCTTAGGGTGGCAGTTTTCTCGTTTAAAAATCAAGTTGTTGGCACTTACCGGGTCAAACTGCATTACTAAAAGTATCCTCCTTCGAAGTTTATGGGGTAAGCAAACTTGGAAATGAGATAAGACAAGTACTTGCATGGCAAACAAAAATATCAGGAACGAGGCAGTAGATAATGAATGCAGATGTTCGGGTTTAAGGTGCGGATATGTGACACCCGTGTTTGATTAGCTAATAATCCCCCTCCCCTATAACTGGTATTTTTTATTGCTATTGTCATCTCTGACGATGGACTCCGACAGAAGTTCGGGGGACACCAAAAAAAATTTGTTTCAGTGTTTGATAAGTCGTCTCCCTTACTCGAACAAACGAATGAATAGATCTAAAGTGAGGGTGACCACAACGTGTATACCATCAACATGACAATGTACAGTTCGGCCGTCTGTATTGACGAGATCGATCATATGTTCCACAGTAGGGTGTGGCAGGGACGGTGACTTGCGCTGTTTCTACCCCTCTCTGTTCCACTTCCTCATCTGGGCCCGGTGTCAAGACAGTCAAAAAGTGGAGATGGGGTGAGGCGAGGCCAAAACATTGAGCGTCACCGCAAACAATGAAACAACGGCAAAAACGGGTGGGGGCTCGGATCCCAGTTGAGTAGGAGTGCCACAAAGGTCGCATTAAGATTAAGCTATTGCAGTCTAACTCGCAGACGCCAGTCAGCCATCCCGCACAAACATACACTGGGTTGACCACGCGTTAAATGACAATACTGACTACTACACAGTTGAGTATTCTGGAAAATTAGTCGACCTAACGTTATCAGTGAAATGATTCGGCATTCCCTGGTTCTCTAATTAGCAATCGGCCAGGCAGCAATAGTAAGCCTACCTGCAGAACCAATTCGCCTGGTAGGCGAATGCGTATAAGGACGAAACGGTAGAGACGGCGCTCCCGGGTCTTCAGTCGCTCTCGCATGGCTTTAGTCAAGAGCATTCCGCTCTCCTCCTGAGCCTTTTGCTGTTGTTCTATTAGCCGACGCAGGTCCTCCCGAGAAACTGTGAAGAAGTCGGCAGGCAGTTCATCCCTCGTGAGTGCACGTACACGCTGTCCAGCTGCCTAAAGTTTAAAAAAAAACAGCATAAAAAATACAACAGATGATGTTGACTCAACGTTAAATACTTGGTTAAATGGCATCAGCACCATGAACTTCAAATGCATCTTACAGGATTCGAAGTAGAAAGAGTGTTGAAGGATGGAAAGTGCCGTTCGTAGACCAGAAGAACAACCAGGGAACGCTAGGGGACCCAGTGATGAGCCGAACTCTTCACAGCTGCGTCATGAAACGAGACAATATCGGCGAAACACGCGTATCTGGACTTTTAGCTGTTACCCGCGGCACCAATCGCGTAAATAATTATCTAGATGTT